GCATACGCATTATCTACCAGTGGTGAGATGTCAGAATTAGTAGAATCGCTGGATAGGTATGAAGTTCCAAGCTCTTCCAAGAGGGAAAACTTCATTTAGTGGTTCTCTTTATTTATTTAGTTCTCCTTAAAACTGTGCACCCAACTTCTGATGATGTGGTATGATCTAGTGACTACAAGCTAGCAGTTTCTTTCTTACTTTCTTGACAGGAGTGAAATCTCGTTGCATAGATCTGGTGAGAGGGTCATTAAGAAAGACCAGAAGTGGCTGTATGAGGCAAGATGTTTCTCTGCCATGTTTCTCTTCCACGGTTTCATTCTTGGTTGAGTCAGCAGTCACTTTTCTTCTTGACCAACTTTTAGCTTCAGGGAGTTTTGCATTAATTGGCTTGGCTTGGTGTAGGATACATAATCCTTTTGAGCCTTTCCCTTAGTTTCTGGGTTCCTAAAGGAAAATCATAATGTTGCAGAAGACACAGATTTCATCCTGGGAGTAAGTGGATAGACTTGCAGTCAAGTATCTGTGCAGTACCGGATTCGCTGGATGAAATAATTTCCTTTTGAGGTCACTTGGATATATGTTTTGAAGCCCTATGAATTGTAACAAGTTTGTATAGGACTGGTGTGAACATGAGGCTGGTGCCAACTGATACCCTGAAAATGATTAGGTTTGTGTGTAGAGCTTGAAAGAGCAGTAAATTCAAAATTTAATTTCTAAACTTTATTTTTTAAAAAACTTCCTATGTTTATTTTTCTTGATGCCAGTAATGGTTTTTGTTATCTGAACAGATGAAGGCTGCCTTTAAAAGGTGTGGCATTTTGAAGTGGGATATATGGAATGAGACTTGCAAACCTCCCTCGCAGGAGGCACAGGGGTGCAGGACAAGGTGGTAACTTTTGATAGGGTAAGACTATTTACTTTTTTTAGTGTTTCATGTATATATAAGCATATGAAAACACACACAGGCATATATCACAAATATATGTGACTGATAGACACAAAGAGCACTCATGTAGCAGAATCTCTCTATAAAGTAACAGTCTTCTGGTTATTGCAAGTAAGATATAGATCATTCCCTGTTAAATAAAAATTTCTTTTCTACGAATCACCCATTCTGTAGTGCAGAACCCAGATGTAGCAGCAGATGAAAATCTACAACTGCAATAAGAAATGGTTTAAATGGTAAATTTGATTCTTCTTGGCCTGACTGCGTGAGTACAAATCAGAAATTATTCCATGGAAAGCAATGTGGCTGTAGTAATGTAACCTCAATAGAACCAGGAAAATATATCAGCCCACAGGATAGAAGCTTCTCATGAAAAATGTTTGTCATTAAAAAAAAAAAAAATCAGGATAGAGATACTCTTGCTTCTTATTGGGAAATAATTTTGACTTTTAAAATACACTTATTGCACAAAGCTGTTACCTGTTACACACCTTCTGTGCTACCGCAGTGGGTAGGCCTGGTCTTTACAGAGAGAAACTAATCTCTGCACATGAAACCTGTCTGCATGCAAATACCAATATTGGGCAGCGGGGAGGAGTGGTCTAAAGTTTACTACAGGTAACGATGGAATATAAATACCTCCATGGTGACAAGTTCAATGTTTATTTGTTTCTTAAAGCACCCAGTAACCCATCTTTCATTTAATCATTGCTTCAGCTCTACCTTCAGGGTTATCCCCAAATTAAACCAGCCTAAGTGCATTTGGTAGGTAGAAGTAGCTAAGCCTGTGTAAATTGTAAATCACAGCTCCTTAGGATTTAACGAGGGCAGGGACACATACAAGTACTTACAGTTACGACTTTCTGCAGGAGTAGATGAATGTCCTTGGTTACCTCTGCAGGCTGTGCTGTGTGCGTGCCGCTTATCATGCTATCCTAGAATCGTAGAATCATTCAGGTTGGGAAAGCCCTTTAAGATCATTAAGCCCAACCATTAGCCTAACCCTGCCATCCCACTCGCATCTGAGTTCCGTTGGCTCATTGCAGAGACGACAGCCACTCAGTAATGCCGTCATATTTTCTTGAAATGCTGTCAAGAAAGTGGTTTCTTACCAAAAAAGATTTTCTTCCTGAAGCAGGAGACAAAAGACATTGTGGAAGCTCTGACAAAGGTCTCAATGCTCAGTAAATAAGATGAGGAACTCCCACCTTGGAGAAACAAGGATCATTGCAGAACACGCTCAGGTACAGTGTCCTTAGGGATCACTTTCAGATTTGCACTTCCACAGATGCAGTCTCAATGGCTGCTAAGGCTTTCAGCTCCTGTTTATTTTGGTGGGGACTGAGAATTTTGAGTCTGGCAGAGTTCCCTTCCCTGAAGGCTGTGATAAGCAGACATAAACACATACAGAAATGGCCATAGGATTCCAACGCCTACCTCTGTCTACAGTATCGGTGAGTCTTGCTCACATGAGGTCAAATGAGCACAAGATGTATTTCCTGTGCAGTACCCCTTGGCTGTACCCCAGATTAACGTGGAAGCATCGTTTGGTTTTGACTTCTAATGGAAGCTGTGGGGGGAAATGCAACAGAACACAGGCAAACCTAGTGTTAATTCTGTCTTTTTACAGTTAACATTCGTTTTATTTTTGGATTAACAGAATGAGGGAC